TACAAATAACTTGACATAATCAAATGAATAAACTAAAATTATCTCTCCCTATTTCATGGCAAAAATGTTTAAATCAGTAGAACCATTGAATGGTCAATGTGTGAAATTTTGTTCACCATTTGTGAAATGATCCCCCAAGTGTCTTCTATCTTCCCATCTTCACCAATTCGATGTTTGCTTGCTCAATATTGACTCCTTCCCGTCGTTGCTCCAATCCCTTGACATGGATCCCTGTTGAGAATTGGGAGGAGACAAGAAGGCAGTCAAATTGTGCCAATCAGTTCGCTTTGACTTACTTAAATTCGACTTGGGATTACACTTTGCTCCTTCAGTCACTTGTCTCTTGAGCTCAAGGAATGTGCCTCCCGGAGCCAGCAGGCCGCCCTCCAGAGAGATTGGCAGCATGGCTGCTGCCTTCGAGGGCAGTCTTAAGACTGGACGCTATTTCCTCACATTTTCAACTTTTCCCCTTCACATGTTAACTGATAGAACAAGCTGCGCTTTGATAAGTCGCTCTAATTACTTAGCATGGACAGGAGATGTGCAACAAGCAGACATAGAAGCGCGTTTTTACGAGCTATGCAATTACTTCATTTCACTCTGACTGAGAGTTTAGCACATCTCGCCTAGCTTTCCTGCACACACGACTGGGCGATTTTCTTCCACAAATGGCCAATACTGAAAAATTTCCCCATTCATAAAAAGCGGCATATTAAAGTGAAGCGGAATCATTCGCGACTAGACTGGCTTCACTCAGCCGCTCCTCTGCTTACATGCTCCTCGCGACGAAGTTGACTTCTGTCCCAGTCGCCACACCAGTTCACTCTCGCCTCTTTACGCATGCACATACACATGCACACAAACACAAACACATACAGCACATACAGCCCTACCGGAATTGGCAGTGGCACCAGTCGCCGCCAACACCAACGATCGCCGTAGAACAATTACGGTGACTGTAGCCCAACTTCAGGGTTGCTCAACCACGACCTCGGATGGTATTGCTCTGCGCACCTCAACCAACTGTTGCATGTTTGCTACGGCGTTGTCAAGGAGATTGATTTCGGTGATCAGATTGCATTTTCCCCACGAACTCATTTCCCCTCCGAGTTGTATGATGAGTCTGGCTTCGTTGTCAAGCCTTTATTGCGTGAAAATCCTTCAAATTTCCCATTAACTGTTTGTTTGTCTGGCTCCACCCCAACCGGTTGTTATGCCTTTTTCGAATGAAATCGCCTCGAGGCGATTGCCTCGATCTGGATCCATCTGCCGACGTCCAGTTCAGATCTTTCCTGAACTCCGTGCTGCGGTGAAATGTGGACTGTTCCACGAGGATGTGCAGACGATGCAGCGGCAGGCCAGCGTGAAAGTGCAGCAAAAGAACAAAAGTGGAATGTAAAAAACCTGGTGCAAAAGAGGTCTGCCGTTGCTGGTGTTGCCGACTGCAAAAGACGAGGCAAGTGGCAACTGGACAGTCTTCAAAGCAGACCGGTACAGTCGTGGTGGCGCGAGGTGGGAACAGGAGAATACCACTTTCAGGTGCACTGCAGAGGCGGGCTGCCAACTTTCATGCCTCCATTCAAGACAATGTAAACTTGCCCAACTTATCGAACATGTCGGCGGAATACTTGCCAACGACTTCGGGTGAGCTTATTCTGTTCCGTCGCTTGCGTTGGTTGCGAGCGCAATCTTAGATTTTATCAACAAATGACAGGTAATAAATCAACTTTTTTTTCGTTGCCCCCCACCAAACGGAGTGATTTGGCGCTTCTCGAGTAACCAGTTGAACCAACTGTAATATGGGATTTAATGGCTATTGGCTGCGTTGAAGACATAAGAATACCAAAGTAATTGACAGAAATGTATACAGAAATGAAGCAAAAATTAAAAAAACTCCCTTTATTTGGCATAATTTTCCGATTTTGGCTCTCTCTTAAACAGTTGACAATAGATCCCTCTTCTCTAGTCACCTTGACAAAATCGTCTCAGTGACATCAACAATAGCATCTTAAAATTCCAAATTATAAATATATATTATGCAAACCCAAATAACGAGAGTACAATTTGACTAAATTAAAGTTGAAAATATAACTACTTAATGGAACTTTTAATATAAAAATAGCGAATAAATAAAGCAAAGTAAAATTGTGAGTCAAATAATATAAAATAAGTGTAAAATAAGACTAGTGGACAAATTATACTCACCTCAAATATGTTCAATTGTGATTTACTTTTCTTAGTCCAACGCTGACCACATATGGGTCACAATTTATCGAAAGCAGTTTTCAATCTGGACTAGAGATTATAAACGTTTATGAATTTTCTCTTCAAATCACGTAATCTATTCGAGCAAATCAAGAATCTCTTCCATTAGTAATTTGGTATTATCAAATTTTGCAGGATTATAATAAGGCCTATTGCATGCCTGAGTTCATTAAAAGCCTAAAAGTGACAAGGTAAAAAAAGAAACTTTTCTAAACTTTTTATCAACGAGTAAATTGAGCGAAAGATAGGAAATGGTATTTAAATAAGCAGAAGCGAGGATCAGCAAAAAATCATATCAAAATCATAAGTAAACAAAGTAGGGCTTCACAGAAATACCCAAATATTTTTTATAAGACTTTCGTTTACCTTCAAAGTCTAGAATGTTATCTGTCAAAATTAGGCTTTTTTATGGCTTGGATTAGTGCAATTATCCGAAATATCCTGTATCCAACCAAACATTATCGGATAATTATTTTTCCGTTTTTTATTTTAATTTTAACTTTTTAGGTAAATCGTGAGTAACAATTAGAAGCTAGGATCTAACTGTCTGCTTTAAGTAAAATTCTATACCTTAAATAAGTTAATATGTGGGATTAATTTAAAATAAACTCGCTAACTGCGTCAAAATGTTATTTTATTGAGGGACAACATAAAATGCTTGCATTTTGGTGGCAGGCCAGTTAGTAGGAATCAAGCTTATCATGATTTGTATAACAATAAAAGGATAGATTTGGAATATGTAAATGGTATATTAA